AGCCAGTTTGTATTAACAAGTTAACACGAACGTCCGATAAGTCGGACCAGAGCAATTTTCTTTATAGATATCATTATTCACAGTGAGAATATTGTAGCACCTGAGCAACTTCTGTGCGATTCTATCCTGCATTGCAGTCATATGTTTAAATCGAGCTGGAATATTGAATACAAATTGATTTATTAGCAAGTAAATTTTGTTTTGTAAAATAAAGAGCAATTTTAAACATAATACATGTTGATTTGTAATATTAATAGTCCAGCCGTAAGTTCTATTACAAATTAAAATGCATTATTTTTATGAAGTTATACATTACTTAGTATATATAACTAAAATTTATACCTACATATTTATTAAAGTCTCGGCAAAAATAAAAAAAAAAACTCTCCTATTTGAAATGGCCACCTTTGGCTTTATACAGGTCTTTAATCTATCTGGCCACGAATCTATGGATTTACGCACATGTTTCTAAGGGAAATTTCGCCGCTGCTTCCCCAATGTCGCCGTGTCGTTTAGAGCAGGCCATGTCCTCTAAAACTGATCATAATTGAAAGTCTAAAAGGTTGAGGTCTGGGCTAGATGAGGGCCAGTCGTTAACTCTTACAAATTCTTATGAAGTACTTATAAAGTTGAAAAAAGAAAAGTTTTTATGTAACAGTATTTATGGACAGACTAGTTAGATAATCATTGTAAACATTATTAACTCTAGCCGCGATCATTGCGGTTACAACATTGTCAAATGTTTTGCCTTTTTTACTGTACACATGTGTTTATTCGTGTAATATTATTAAATGATTTAAATACAAAACAACATTGGAATTATAGACGTCCTTATTAGGAAATATTTTTTATACTGAAATTATTTTTTTATCTACAAAATTTGGAGCAAAAAAACTGACATGCCGCATCTTATTAGTATGAGAGATACCTATAAAGTTTTTTTAATATTTTTCTCTAGTAAAACCTTCACTAATAGAATGTTATCATATCTTAAAATAATAACAAACGTGATCGTGAAAGCGGTAACCATTGCCTATAGATATAACATAAACATCACAGAATACAATGTGAGACCTATGGTACTTCTCACGCGTTGCTATTTCTGACGACTATGATGTTAGACCTCCGTTCCCAGAAATTTCACTGCCATATCACACCCTTCAAACTGAAACACAGGTATATAAGCAAAGCTGCTTCACAATAGACAAGTGGACAAGATAGAGGTATTCATGCAAGCGGCTTTGCACATGGTCTTCCTTCGGTGTTTGATTAAAATTACTGTTTATTTTTGTTAAGAACGTTATATAAAACTTATATAAATAAAATGTATAAATTTATATTATAAAATAAATCCATAAAAATATCATATAAATTGGTATACAGCAAATATTTTGTCAACATATCTTTAATATTATCACGTTGGGCGGCAATAAATAAGAAAAGCAATTTTGTTCATATTACACTTTTGATGAATGGCATTCATGTTTATAACTAAAATTACTAGGTAAAATACCTATACAGCCCGTAATATATTCAAATGCCTGGAAACTAAGCTATTTATTTATTTCTACCTATATAAATGATAATATCTAGATATAATTGTGTATATATACTTCGTTTGCTGCAAACAATTTGTATTTGCTTATATCATTGATTATGAATGAAATATATAATATTATTGATACTTCACTTATCTGCTATTTATTGATAAATATATGTGACGTAGTATTAGATTTTTATCTAACATAAAATAAAATAGAAATAATCTTTAATCAAATAGACTTGTTTGCAAACTATTTTAAATTAGTCTTTTATGATTTTACTGTTGGATTCGGAATGTCTGCAAGAAAGTTAAGAATTAGTAAAACAACATAGTTATTTGTCATCTGGTGTGTGTTTGTGCGTGCGTGCACACATATCAAGCTAACACGCACGCACGCACATGCACGCGCACACATGCACACATATTTGTATATATCTTAACATTAAATTTAATTCAGCATTGATTAACAAACTCAAAATGTCCTATTCTTTGAAGTCAGATAAAATTATAATATTATTTGTTTGAATTTTGTCATAATTTACATTCTTTTTTTTTTTGTCATGAGAACATTCTATATTTGCAAAACGTCACGTGTATGACGATACATTCTATTTATTTATATAAAATGTATTCTCCCTAAACCAATAGCGAGAAACCCATTATCAACGTTTCCCGTAGAAAATTCCGAGAAACACTTCATAGTAAACATTTACGTCACACCATGTCCTTGTAAAATTTCAATGCCTCATATTTATAATACAGACAATAGCACTTTTTCCGTATTATTACATATAATACACGTAAAAAAAGGTGGTTAAATTTTTTCTATGTGCTTCTTACTAATATTCTAAAGTAACTTTTTGCTCGCTACTTCATATGTGCGTGATGTGGCCATGGCGAGCCAATACCCACAATTAGATATACGAAAAATCTACCGGGTCAGACGCGTGGGGCCCTCGGTACACTCCACAACTTGATTGCTACTTACTTTACTACAGCAGTATCAAATAAACTGGTTCACTCACCTTATGTACCGATATGCCTTCATGTAGGCCGGCCGGCTGAACAGCAACAGTTCCAAGATGGAGAATGCGTAGCAAAGTGAACTGTCTCGCACCTCAAGACACAAGAATCTACACAATTCACCAGTGAATAGTACAAGTATCCATACAGTTTTCGTCACAACACAAAACAGAAACGATCAGGGTGCAGCTTGGATGTAGGTATCGACCTCTTTTTATTTTGGTTTTTATAATTTAAAAAAAAAAACATGGCAGCTAGAGAACTATGAACGGAGACTCCCGCGCTCGTAGGCTTCACAGAACGGCGGCGAGAAAACGGAGCATTCCTATTGGCTATCGCCTCGCCATCGTCGGGAATGCGCAGTAAAGCTGCGCAGACATTCCGCGCGAGATTTGAGTGAGCCTGTAGCTACACCTACCGCAATACGGAATTGCAACCAAGTTGCGGCCCAAACATTGTGAATTTCAGAAAAAGAAAAATCAAAAAAATAAATTGTTTTTAGTGTAACAAGAGAATGTACACCAAATTTTAAATTAAACTTTCAAGAACACAATTGTGAAAATCGCATCCGAACTAATGTGGTAGTTTTTGCGCAATTTGAGAACTAATATCATCATTATCATATCAACCTTCAACTGTCCACTGCTGAACAAAAGCCTTCCCCAGAAGGGAAATTTTGCTAGTAGTTGCCACGCTTGGCAAGCAGATTGCCAACCGCAGTTAGGCTTTATAGATGTTTTAAAAGAGACGTTGCTGCCTATCCCTCTACCATTAAGTTCCTTTAGTCACATCTTAGAACACCCACTGAAAAGGAAGGGGTGGCCTATTCTATACCGGGACCACACGAGGAACTAAGATACAGGCAGACAAACAAACAGAAAGACAAACAAAATTTCTAAAAAGTATTGTTTTTCTAAAAAGTATTTGGCTTCTACTAACCCTGATACAAATAGTTTCTTAATTATCTCCCATGTACAGACATCGTCTAGTTGCTATTTTATTATACTTATTAGTAAGACAAGATAAGAAGTTTGTCTGTCATCTATTGATGTCTTATATATAATATTTTTTGATATGATTAATCAATAAATTCTAGTTTCACAGACGAAGTTATGAATTACAGTAGTAATAATTGTAAATAAAAATAAAATTATCTTCATTGTTCATTCATCAACGGACGGGTGAATAAAGATTTTACGAAGCAATAGGACACTATGGATTAATAATGCAATAGAACAGAATTATAGAAGACTTTGATGATTCATAGATGCCAACGTCTAAGAAATCATTTCAAAGCACTGAATTGTATGTCATTTAGATTTTCGCACCTCCAAATGGCGAGTTAAAGAGAATAAATTAATGTGAAATAGGTAAGATTGTGAAACAATTTTGAAAGCTATAATTTACAAATGACAAGAAAATATGGGTATATTTACAATAAATAATGTAGGTATACCTTATATTAGGGTTGTTATTTACTTTCATTCTAGGATATATTATAAATTGTGCATGATCGGAGTTTCGATTATTGATAGAATCCCAAATAGGGTTTTCGCAGAAGAATGGCAATTCTCAATAAATATTTTAAAAATAGAATGCTCGTTAATATAGACTGATTATGTACCAGTAAGTGATGATAGGAGAGAATGTAGTTAGGTATTAATCACAATGGTTTCTAGAGGAAACTGCATGAAGGATTCACTTGAAAGTATTGCGAAAAATGAACCACTTATAACCCCCTTAATATCAATCCCTTATACTCACGCAATATATTTTTTTATTGATTATAATGGAATGGTAACTCCGCCTGCGCTATCGGTATACACTGGCGGGGCACCAATGACCGATGACAGGTGAAGGTAAAGCAGATCAGTTAGCTTATCGTGACAATATCAACAATAACTCGATCACTATGGTTTCCAGGGGGCACTGCGAGGAGGTCCCCACCGCCTCACGCAATATTAGCTAACACTGCATGAACAGACGACAAGAAATGTGTTGCAGAGCATCAGAGAATAAATGTATATATTCCTTATACTCTATAGGAGGCCTATGTTCAAAAGTTGTTTAAAATATTGATATTTAAAGTAATAATTAAAGATTTAAATTTTTACAAATATATAGCCATAAATAATTATAAATATTAATTTAAAACCTATGAATTATATTATATTATATATATTATAAATATAATATAATTCATAGGCATATATTATTTTACTCACAGAACTAGATAAATAAACAATCAAATCAAAATCGAAATTCATGGACTTACATTCAAATACAGCAATGATAAGAGTACAATAACAGTATATAATAGTTAAGTCTTCAATATTCACTAAAAAATATAAATAATTATAAAATCACGTACAAAAGATTCACACAGCCCTATAATAAAAAAATAAGCATTACTTACAGCTACAGTTAGAGCATCTCTAACGTATCAGTCGATTTTCATAATTCTATAAAGAAAACACTGTGCAACAAATATAATTAAAAACTTAGGAGCGTTCGTATTTATAATTTGTCAAAATGGAACTACCTGATTTCGAAGAAATACTAAAACAAATAAAAATAAATTTTTGGATAATTGGAATACCATTTAACTATCCAAATATAAAAATCAGATACTACTTTTTCTTGATTGCGCTTATACTAATGCTTGTAGCAGAAGTAACATTTGTTGTATGCAAGATGTCTTCTGTAAACTTGTTAGATTTAACATTGCTGGCCCCTTGTATTTGTATTGGAATATTGTCTATACTTAAAATAGTATGTATTGCCAATAAAAGACAGAAAATCTTTAAATTAGCTGATTGTTTGGATAGCTTATATGGTGTTATTTTAAATAACACTCACAACAATGAGATCGTTGGTCCGCAAGTTGCCGGTTTAAAAAAAATTATAAAATATTTTTTCATTTTAAATGGCATTCTAATTGCAATATATAATTTTTCAAATTTAGCTTTCATGTTCTATGAATATATTTCAAATAAAGAAGTAAGATATCATTTGGCTTATCCAGTAATAATGCCATTTCGTACGGACATATTTTCGACTTGGTTCCTGGTTTTCATTTTTTCATCTATGAATGGTAAGATCATTTTATGATTACTTGAATCAAGCTACGATAATGTATATTATATTCATTCAAATAATAAATTATTATTATTGTATTTGAAGCATTTTATTTTCAGTGCTAATAAATTTTTAAATTAAAATATGTTGAAAATTCTTTATTTTTTCAAATTTAGAGAGTAAATACTAAAAACCTATTTTATAATAGGTTAAAAATATATCTACTAAAGGTATATTTTTATCAAATATGTTTTTAAAATTTCATCTCTATTTACTCAGTTGAAAAAATAAAATAAACTAAATTCTTAATTCTCTTTTAGTTCATTTATATATTACAGTCAGTTTATATTTTTTTATTATATTATAAAATTGAAGTTAGATTTTTACAATTATATATATTTATTTTCATCAAATCTATTTTTAACCGTCTTAAAAAAGAAGTCCTTAGTTTGTCAAAATCTTTAATTTTTTAAATTTTTTGATGCGAAAATCGGATCGATTCCAACAATTATTTTTTTTTGTTTAAGACAATATATTTTCTGATTGGTTCCATATAAATTTAATAATCAATATAATAATTTAATTTTTAGCATGTAGTTTATTTTAATTTTTTCTACTATCGACGGTAGGCCACCTATCACATTGCATCTTTATACGCTTGGAGAAAGGTAGAAAATTCGAATGTTACATTTACAACAGTCTATTAATATCCCTAACTGTCCTATTAGGTATTATAGTCGTGTACATATTTAATTTATATATATTCTATGTATTTGAATTTTAGGGTACGTTTGCGTCATTTACTATACAACGGCTGACGCTTTATATTGTATATTTACTTCTCATATTTGTCATCATTTTACTTTGCTAGCTGAAGAAATTAAATATCTTGATACTAGCAATGCAGCTAACTTAAAAAATGTTGTTAAAAATCATCAATACATATTAAGGTGAGTATTTTAAATGCTTATCTGTAAAATTATAGTTGTTAATATGTCAGATTACGGATAACATTGTCCACTACTAACTTTGGAACCGTGACCAGGCTGAATAAAAAAAGTTCCCTTTACCTAACGAAATCTGATGGGAAATGGTAACTATCATTTATAGATATAAATAGTACCATAGATATAAAATTTTTGTCTTAATTTGTGCTTAATTTCTACATTACAGATTGTCCGAAGATTTGGAAGATATTTTCAATTTACCAAATTTATTCACTGTTTTGCTAGGATCAATTGAAATCTGTGTATTGGGCTTTAATTTGACGGTAAGTATTTAAATATTTGAGAACAATGATAACCTCAAAAGTATTTCAAGCAGTGAATCCATAAAGAGAAAAGAACCTGGTAACAGAATCGTTTGGGGAGGAACAATATTCAGCTGTGTAACAATTAATAGCTAAAATGGTTATAACAGTTATTTACTAGCTATACCTATGATTTAAGTATTATAAAGCCGAACAAAATATCATTTTCTAAATACTATGTGTATGCTATACGCTTAAATTAGCTAGAGCATCGAGCCTCAGAAATGGGGTAACTTTTTGTCAGCTAATTGTCAAATTAGCTGATTCGTCTTTTTTATCAGTATTCTATATATTTACGTATACAATATATCTTGACTTATTATTTAATATATAAAATGAGTGTTTACGCATTAAAAGCATACAAAAATTATAAGACAAAATAAATATAGAAATTATAAAGGAATCACTCATAACTATTTATCACGCAAAATTGTATGAAAAAGTTGACCCACTTTTCTTGAAGCATTCATATGAGACACTCTATCCATATAATCTAATGTTATATATATGCTATAATGATTAAAAGGCAAGAAGTTTTACATATATCATTATATTAGCTTTTAACAGTCCATTACTGAACGTCAGCCTTCCCCTAAGGGGGTTTTGTCAGTAGTTTCCACGCTTGGCAGGCGAATTGGGAACTGCGGTTAGATTTTGGAGATGTTTTAAGAAGGAAGCTGCTACCCATCCCTCGCCCTCCCGTAGTCGCCTCTTACGACACCTACGGGAAAGGAACGTATGGCCTATTCTATGCCGGGACTACACAGAATCTTTACTAATATTATATCTATTTTGATATTATAAAGGAGAAAAGTTTGATTATTTATTTGTAATGAATTGACTCAAAATCATCTTAACGGATTTCTTAAATTTATTCACCTTTATAAAGCTACATTTTCAACGAGTAACATAGTCTATATGTTCGAAAATTCTATCAACCCGTGCGCAGCCAGGCTAGATTGCTAGTTTCTTATATTAGTAGTATTCCCTTAAACACTGAGATGAAGATTGACAACGGCAGATTACTAACCGTTTGTTTACTACATATGTAATAATATTTACTTAGTAAATTCTCGTTTATATTATGTATGCTTCTGTTAATTGAAACCCATATCACTGCTAAAACGGTTTCTAATATTAATGCCCGAATTTGAAACTTATCTTTAGAAACTATAATAACCTCTTATATGTGATAGTGAGTTTGTTTGTTTATTTATTAATTTATTTATTCGTATAACTGTTTTCTTAGTATTTTAATGTCTTTTTTTATGCAACTTAGAATAGCAAACAAGCTGATGGCTCACCTGATTGAAAGTGGTATCCGTCGCCTATAAACATAAGCAGTGCCATGGACATAACAGAGTAGCCCATGATACCTCCCATGCGTTGTCATTCCTGAGAACTCAGGTGTTATTTCTCTGCACCCTGTAAATTCACTGCCATATCTCACCCTTCAAACAGAAACACAGCCATGCAAATACAACTGCTTCACGGTAGAAAAACAAATGAAACAGCGGCGCCCAAACAAACGACTTTTGTACAAAGTCTCTATCTGGTAAAGAAGTGATAATAAAATTTAACATACAAATAAAGTTTGAGGTTGAGAAAGGCTACTTTTTACTCTAGTCATACTGACGCATGAATCTTGACATACACTTAGCAATTAGAATGGTGAAACCTTAGATTATATACATAGGAATGTCTCCATATAAATGATTGGAAAAAAAACGGGTCAACTTTTTCATGCATTTCTGCGTGATTAGTTATGAGTGTTTCCTTTATACCTTCTAAATTTATTTTGTTTTACAATTTTTGCAACTTTTTAATGCGTAAAAATTTATTTTATTTATAAAATATATAAATATAGATACGTCAAGATACATTATATGTTTAAAGATACATTATATGTTTAAATATATGGAACACTGATAAAAAAACAAATCACCTTATTTGACAATTAGCTGACAAGAGTTAATCCGTTTTTAAGAGTCAATGCTCGCTTTATATAATTTGAGAGAAAAGCATACAAACTAGGTATATATTGAATGATCGACATTTAACATGTCCCGTTCATGAGGACATAGTCACAGGAAGACCACTACTAGTAAAACACTACAAAACAGAATCTCAAATTAATGTTTCATCATTTTCAGATGGGTAGCTGGACTCAATTGCCTGGGTGTATTTTATTTCTTCTATCAGTACTTTTACAAATACTCATGATGAGTTATTTCGGTGAAAATATTACAAGAGAGGTAAAAAAAAAAACAAATTTAATACATTCCGGACCTACAGTTTTTTAGTATCATAATCTTAAATACAACAAGATCCTTGATAAATAAAAAAAGTCACGATTAATTTATAATTATTGATAATAGACTTTTAAAATACTGTACTATTTTGAAAACAAAAAGAATTCTTTCACGACCGATGTAGGCAATTGTCTGGTAGATTATAAAACAAATTCTTATCATGGGGCCTACATCTTAAGATCCGTATGTGCACAGTTTTATTTAAGAAGTGTTTTAAATACATCACATACAAAGCGACATAAAAAAAAAGGTACTACAGATATGTGTCAGAAAATATACTCGTAATTATTTATTGATATGTAATAAAACTAAATAAAGCCTAATTAGTGTAACGGTGTAGCCGTCTAGATCCCGGCATAGAATAGGCCACCCTTTTCTTTCGTGGGTGTCCTAATATGCAACTAAGAGAGCTTATGGTGGAGGGATGGGCAGCATCGTTCATAAAGCATCACCAAAAGCCAAACTGCACTTACTAACCCGCTTGCCAAGAGTGGCAACTACTAAAAAACCTACTACTACTACAAAACCCCCCTTATGGGGGAGGCTGTATTCAGCAGTGGAGAGTTAATGGATGTTACAACAAGTGTGACAGTAAATGATTTAAATAATGTAGAATGTATACACAAACTTATAAATCATGTCCGTCTCCTATTGAGGTAGACATAGATAATAAAATTATAACTGACCTCTATTGTACTTACATTAAATTTCAGAGCAATAAAGTCGGCGAAGCAATATATCTATGTAAATGGTACAAAATGAATAAAAGAGAAAAGCAGAACATATTAATCATAATGACGAGGTAAATAATGTTTTATAATTCTGATATAAAATATTTATTAACAAACGAGTATGATTGACGTTATACTTATAGCCGTTAGACAAGTATCAAACGAATGCATCGATACATACGTTTTCGTTATCACGTGTATTATAAAAACGATATGTCGGATGTCGCAGTCTTATTCCATCTTATGTACGAAAAGTCGAAAATATGTCTAAAGTTTGCCATTTCTTTGGGGTCTAGAAGGGCGGATCCTTTTCGAAGAAGCAGCTTTTTTTATTCATAAACTCAAATAAAACTCCCAAACCAAAAAGACACAGAAACTATATAAATTCAAATATTTTCATTGTGCGGGAATCAAACCGACGATCATTGGAAGATAATACGTTGTGATAAACCACTTCATCATCAAGATCATTAATTGGATTAGAAAGAAGTAATAATACTGAGGAAGTAGTAATGTATTCTATACAATAATTCATGTATATGTACGAGTATATAAAGAGAAATGCTTAATAAAGGACTAACTAATTCATGCAATTAAACACTCATTTTACATTTTTTATAGGTCACACAAGCCTGCCAAGTTAACTGCTTACAAATTTTCTACTATTTCATATGCGAGTTTTATGAAGGTAAGTATGGAATTACTATATTCTATACATATTTTATACATATTAATTGTCTTTGAATACACAGTACAGAAACGTACACTCACGCATTCAAATACCTTCAAATTATATTAGTAGAGAATAGGAAACGGGGTATGAACACGAGAAAGTTAAAAGTGAATTTCTTTTAACTTTCTCTTGTTATCATATGTTATAATTTTGAAAAGTGGCTAGGGGCTGGTCCCATCTTTTTTCTCTGCCTTCCACGATGCCCTTATTTATTTTAACAGAAGAAAAATATGTTTATACAGACGTGACGTCATTCACTCTGATTAGTGATTTATTTAAAATCATAATTTATTTAATTATGTTTATCATTATACCAATTAGCAAAGTTACGATAAAACACTTTATATTAATTAACATTACTATAATTAATTTTGTCGTTTCCCGGCATAGAATAGGCCACTCCTTCCTTTCCCGTGAGTGTCTTAGCGACTAAGGGAAGGCGGGCAATGGGCAGTAGCGTCCTCTTAAAATATCTCCAAAGCCTAACTGCGGTTGCCAAACCGCGTGTCAAGCGTGGCAATTACTGGCAAAATCCCGCACAGGGGGAGGTTTATGTTCAGCAGTGGACAGTTATAAGACAGTTACAGACAGTCTCATATGATGATGATGATGATGATGACTATAATTAAACTGTTTGCGTTTGTATTATAATAGTCCTAATTATGCTTATCTATTTATTATCTGATAAACTTTCAATAATTTTTTTGCCGTGTGGTCCCGACATAAAATTAGCCAGCCACCTCTTCCTTTCCCGTGGGTATCGTAAGAGAGCACTTAGGGAATTGAATGGGCGAGGGATAGGCAGCAGCGTCCTTCGTATAATATCACCAAAGCTTAACTGAAGTTGCCAACCTGTCTACCAAGCGTGCCAACTACTGGCAAAACCCTCCAAGGGGAACGCCTTTGTTCAGCAGTGGCCAGTTAAATAACTTTTTATATTGGTTTTGTTTCAGATTATTAGCACGTCATGGTCATACTTTACGATACTGAAGACAGTTTATAAATCGTAATCATAAGAATCCATTGTAATTGATTTTAGAATAATAATTATACTTTGGCTATGTATAAATGTAAACAAATCATTATTTTTTTGTAAAATTGTATGATAAAATAAATAAAATTTTGCATTAGGATGTAAAAAAAGGATTTTTTTCAAGACAGGGATTCATATGCCATGAGTATAATCCGTTTGAACCAAGTTGCCATTGAAAATATAATGCAGGTTACTACTTTACCCATGTCACTGTCAAGTATTACATGTTTTACATAACGCGTAGTACTACAACCTATATGCCAACAGTTGTAAACTAAGTTTAAGAATTGTCTAAGTTTTCTTTAATATCTTAATCTTTAGATTTGTATTTAATAATAATAAATACTTTCATATAATTAATGTAAAATTTATATAAACATATATAAACGTGATATTTATTTCTTAACAATTTTTAATCCCTGACGCAAAAAGAGGAGCGTTATAAGTTTCACGTATTTATGTGTCTTTCTGTAGCATCATAACTTTTAAATGAATGCACTAATTATAATGCAGCTTATTTCTATTTAAAAGCATGATCGAGATAGTTCTTAGTTGCAATTTATGAAGATCTGTTTAGGAGGGTACTTAAAATTTGTAATTGTATTTATTTTATATTAATAAGACAGCTGAAATTTCTTGAACAGATTTAAATGAATCTGATGTATAGAAGGACCATATTCCAAAATAACATAAAGAGCTATTTTTCATCCTAATTGGCATGGGCAAAGTCGCGAAACATACATTTGAAATTAGGTAAAGTAATAAACCTTGCAATTGTTGCAGTACTTTCTACAGTACAGAAAATTAAAAAATTTTGTCTATTCAACCTAAGCTTACTTCTATTCCCACAAAAATAACAAATAAATCGCATTTCGTTTAATCTACCACAATGCTACATCAATTTTAATTAATACTTAATCTTACGTAATCAAAAGGACGAAATTTCTCTGTATTATTATGGCTGGGTGCTTCAACAACAAACAGTCAAACAATATTATTTTCACATTTGTAATATTAGTACGGACTAATATTATTGTTCTGTTTTTATTATGCAGACATACTGGGATACTGAGATGTAATTACTGGATACTGTAAACCTTTAACTTATGAATAAACATGATAATAAAATTCATTGTAAATATTTTACTGAACTAGGTATTGTAGAAGGAAGTAAAAGAAGTTCCATAACCTTCCATATTAGCTATCAATTTCCGACTTCCATTTTATTATATGTGATTCAATTCTAAACGAGAAGTCTTAGGCAAATTATTAAATTACTGTTTGGAACTAGTGTTAACCTTTGGACACTCAAATTTCAAAAACTGCCTGGTAGTAATTGTAGTGGTCAATCTTCGTGTGTTGACAGTGACACATGTACTAATGGTAGAAGAATTAAACAAAATAATTGTATCAAATAACCAGAATTAATCATTGTATATAAAACAATATTATGATCTTATGGAATGTTAGTTTCGAACTAAAATATAATGAGGATTGATACAAAATTTTTTAATTTTTTTTTCAGATATTATGCCGTAAATATTTTTATTGCTCAGAGCAGCAAATTAAAAAAAAAAATGGATATTACAATAAATATACTGAAAATATTGTAGTTGCCCTCTTCAAATTTTGATTATAGTTAGTAAAAATCATTAGAAATAACTGTCATATAAGATGAATGCTTTGTTACACATATTTAGAATTATGTCTTAATAAATCATAAAGAGGTTTGCTTCGTTAAAAGTTTTTCATGTTTCTTGTTAGGATATTAACTAATAATAGTGAATAAAATAAAATTCCTTAGTTTAAATTTACGCTTTCATTTATTCTCTCATTTAAATATGTTTAACTTCTGTTATTCGGCATCAGTTTAAAAAGGATATCTTCTACCTGTGTTGACACGATATTGTCCAGATCTGAAACCAGAAATAGAAAATTTTAAGTGATATTTAATCACTGTCAACATTTTTTATTTTCATAAAAAAGATGTACTGCAATAATTATCATAAATTCATTACATGCAAGAAAATATCCATTGAAACAAATAATGTTACCAATTCACATTACTTTTCAACCGTAATTTATTACTTTAAATCCTCACTTAGATTAATTTGACAAGTAATGTTTTCAAGGTTAGTTTTTTTCTGGGCGATCGACATAAATCGATGATTAATAATTTAAAATTGCGTTCTACAAAAAAAATTATATCAATTGTGACAAAACCAGTTATTTTGGTTTTGAAGTCGGGTGAAAAGAAAAGTAAATAGTTAACATACCCAGTTTTTCTTAAATCGTCATTGCCCAAGGGGAACGGACTACCACGACAAGAGTTGAATGTGATTTGCCAGTTGCTCTCGCATTCGTTTCCTAACAGATGATTGTATGTGACACTGGCACCAAACAGTTCCCAGGAACGGTCATGGTCGCACAAGAAAGTCAGACAACCGGGTTGGGATCTGCCACCATTGGGGAAGAAGTCTACGTTTCCGATAGCTGTGCCAATACCAAGGCCATCGACACCTCCGTTGGTATGGATACCCTCAACGTAGATGCCGTCCTCGGAGGTAATCTTGTTGGAGTTGTAGTGCCATAAAGGGCCAGCAGGGTCCAAACCTATATACCAAAGAAAATTTAAAATAATAGAAGATAAACATATCTCATGATATTTAAATAAATAATTCAAATTATTTAATTTCTAAATAAGTCCAATCTAAGTTGCTTTAAATTATTATTATCTATAAATAAATGACTATCAAGAAATCACATAAGTACCGATAGGACTCATAGGTGACAAATTACTAATTTATATTAATAAGCACCTAATATTGTTTGACATTCATTTATCTTGACAAATCAGTATGTAAACATAAGCTGATAAGTTAACATTCTTATCATTTTTAGGTACTATCACCAAATACTTAAAACCTAACAATGTTTATAAGTTGAACATATTTTTTTAAATATATAAATTACTACTAACCAGTAACACGAGCCACTCTTCCACCAAGTTCTCTTCCGGCATTGCCAACAATATGAGCACCTAAACTGAAGCCGACCAGATGGATAGAGTCATATGGAATGCCAGTCACGGAGATAAGAAATTGAACGAACTGTCCCAAACCAACACCGATGGCTGGAACTCCAAAAACGGCGGTAACGTAGTCAGACAAAGCGAGGCGTCTCCAGTCCAAGACAATGACGTTAGTGCTTCCTTTGCCCAAATATGCTGTAAAGAAATACTTTAATGCAATTTCATAATATAGATGACTATTAGCGTTTGATGAAAAGTGAAACTAAATACAAGGATTTCAAGTAATATCATGTAATCTATATAATCCTTAGCAATTTATGTAATGCTACATAAAACAAAAGAGTAGAAACATAAATAAATATGCTAACGATGGTAAACTGTATTCTCTGATTGATTACAGTTTTAAACCATATTTATCATCACCAGACTTTTAGTGAAGTTTAAATCAACATACAAAATTACGATGTAGTTCAAATTACAAATCTTTTTAGGCACTACCATCCAAACCATATCAAATTTGTAATATCCCTTAGAAGGATACTGAATTGGCTAAATGAGATTATTTTTCAACTAATTCCTACTGTCGGACTTAAAATGAAAGAGTATTCTGATTTACTTCTTTCGTTAAATTTTTCCTATGAGGTAAAAAAAAGGCCTAACAGTACACTTTGGACTTTACGTTTAACATTTAATCAATTTAAATAATAAAACTTACCGTCCCTGACAGTTGGGTTGATACCAGCGGTCTGACTACCCAGCCAACCGTGGACAAGCACGACGGTGTTATCCTGGGGTTGAAGTTTGAATTCGTAATGGAAGCTGGATCGTTGATGATCAAAGTCTGGGCTTCGGTGGGGTTGTTCCTATAAAAATAATTAGTTTTAACAAATTTTTATTTATTCATGATCATTATACTACAGTAGTCTTTACAGTCCAGGTCAGATTGCCTTGCACTCTTTCTCTACACTAATAATAATTACAAAAAAGCTGATGAACTATGTAATAAAAAATCAGAAATTTCGTTTATATTCATAGTCTAAACGTTATGATTTTAATTTACTAATATCTATACTTCAGTAGTATTTTGTCAACATGACCTAATTGTGCTAATCACTCCAGAAAACGTGTTTAAAATTTGGTGACATACCCTTGAAAATAACTTTTTCAGTCACAACATTTACAACTCACCTAGTAAACAACAAGTAAAGGTTATTTTCAGGGTTCCTTTCGATTTCTTCTAAGAGAGCTCTATCGGGTTCGGCTTCCAAATCAGCGACATGTGGCACGCCTTCACCATCGGGGAACTCCACAAATCGTGGGTACCTCTTAGGCTCCCTTATCTCATCTTCAACGGGCACCGCAGATGCGATGTATACTAAAATTATAGGAAAGCACATAAAAATAATATAAAAATAAATCTGTTATTATACAAATTTTAAGAAAATAACCATCAGTAAATATAGTTGACTAGAAAAGGCATACGAGACATTAGCTTTGAAAAAAGATATATAAATGGGTTAATAAAGATGCTTTTAAACAGCTAATACTTCACTATTTCAAACTACATATACAGGATAATTTTTTGATAATTCATAATTTTAATTTCAATACACAATCGAGACTTTATTGCAATAAAAGTCGGCAAACGTCAGCAGTAAAGAAGCAGGTATGCAGGTACCAGTTACCTGTAAAAGCTTTTTCATCGCGTTAAATCCTAATTGTATATTTGAAAATATATATAAACAACGCGAAAATTTAAAATTAACTAACATTATTTTATTCAGAAGTGGGCAGAAAATTCATTAAAAATTGTATTTATTTTTTTTACATTTAATGATTTTTCATTTAATGTAAGCAATAAATGATACATACCCGTAGCGATTACACACAGGAACAAAGATGCCTTCATTATGCTTTGCTGGGTACCTAATTGTACTGTGTTACAAATTGCGTTCCTTTATATATGTATTCGTTAAATTCATACGCATCAATCTTATAAGATAAGATGATTTTCATTAATAGATATCATTCTCAATCTGGTCATTATCATTTATGTATTTTACATTATCCATATCAATGATTATAATCACTGTGAAAGTATTTCTCTTTATCTATTTGCTTGTTTTTTTAGGGCTGATACCATTTTAAGGACATTTGTTAGGAGAAAATATATTGAATTTTATGCAAGGTTCTTAGATTATAATTAGGATATAAGTTTCCTATTTCTGTAAACAAATTATAAAATGTTCATTATACTCTTTCAGCTCATGGGTCAGAATATGTTCTAGTCCACATTTATGTACATTTGCAAAATCTTAAAAAAATCAAAGTATAGAATTTTTTTATTGGTATTATTGAAATAATAAATATTTTATATTGATATAAATACACCTTAATATTTATTATTGACCATTTAGTTCCTTGTACGCCTATTACAACATTTACGGAACAGGAAGGGGTGGTTCTTCATATATGCACTTGGAAATTTGGTATATCCGTGATATTGTTCATGTCTATAGACGACGATTACTACTTTCCATCAGGTGGATTGTCAGCTTGTTTGTCATTCTAAATCATAAAATAAATTTCATTAAAAAATATCAGAAAGCAACTACGCTATAATAAAAACCTATTAGTATAAATACTCGTTATTATTGTAAGTTATAGACCTTGTTAGTCTTTTTAGTAATTGGCGTAGAATAACCAAAATTAGGATATCAATTACCTATACAAAGTATACGTATAGGAAACCACTCTAATATTCAAAAAGTTAAGGAAAGTACTACTCGAAAAGTAGTACAATAGAAGCATTGCTCGTTATTTTATTAATATAGAAATTAATATTATAATATAATATCCGTCAATTACCTCAAGCAATATTATTATTAACACGTACAACCACTCTTTGGTATCAACTTCCAACAGCAGTATTTCCGAACCGATACGACATCATAACCTTCAAGAAAAGAGCATATTCCTTTTAAAAAGGCCGGCAGCACACCTACAATGCCGTTGGTGTTGTGGGTGATCATGGGCGGCGTTAGTCACTTACCATCAGGTGAGCCGCATGCTCATTTGCCCCCTGTGTTGTTAAAAAAACGTTATATATATTTTATAGCTCGATTAGATACGCGCTATATCATCAAATCTGTTTTTTTATTATTGTTATTATTTTACGGTTTTGTCAAAATGTTTTTTTTTCATATATTTTGGCATAAACAATTATTAAAAATATCAGTACATTTTTTATGTATACATATTTAATACAATAGTAGAAGTTTATGTAGTTAGTTGACTAAAATATAGACGCACACAGAGTTGTAATAATGTTGCCATAATTGTAGCTGCTTTTTAATTGTTTAGCAAAGCTTCTCTTATATGTTCCTTTTTCGTTTAATAGTGTGTTATTTAAAGAATGCCTTTTTTTATCGAAATATAATTGATTCGAAATTCAAAATAATTACACTTATTAAATACGAATACGTCGAATCAATGTCCATTCTCCACCATTTATTCTTGTTCCATCTTTGTAAATAAACTTATTTTTGGGCTCTAATAGTGAAACCGGAGTCCAATGTTTCAACAATCTTTGAAATTAATAGATAGACTTTAATACTATATCACTAAACAGCGTTCATTCTAATTATGCCGTAATTAATATTATCTAATGTATAGAAAACAATAACAAAAACAAAATATAAATCGAAAATGATAAGGTCTAAACCCACAGATAATTCATTCGAGTATTAATTTTTAAACCTACAAGACAAATAATATTTATATTTAAACCGATTTGCTATATAAATGTTATTGATTATCTATCTAATTATATAATTGGCTTATAGATAGATCTGACGTATAAAATACTGATGGGTCTTTTTGTAGTCTTTTTCATGGGTACCTCTGTCTTGTACATGTTTTAGCCGCTAATTTGCTATTCTTGTATGGCTGTGTTTTGAAGGTAGAGATATAGCAATTAAATTACTGATTATCGAAGTGCAGACAGTGTAATGTGCTAGGAATACGATTGTCGTCACAGTGTATTTTATATATGATTTCCGTGGTGATATTCTTGTAGGCAAAAATTATGATATGGTACATACAAACCTTTATAAACTGTTATTATTTCACATTTTTCGATTCACTAACTTTGGAGATCAGGATGGGGAATAGCTTTTTTCTCACAATTAGAATCATAATTAAAAATCAAGTAATATAAAAAATAATAAAAATCAATTTTATAATATACAAATGAAGTCCTTTCATACCATACTCCACTTGGATAAGTAGGTCAATTTCGACATTTTGAATACCCGGTTTAGACTGGTAGAGAAATTAAATATATTTTTAAAATTATTTTCAATCAATATATGTGGGATAATAACTTGTAAAATTATCCCAAATATCAAGTCCATAACATAAGTAGTAGCTGAAATATAAGGCTGTGACAGACCACCATTTCTTTATATCTATATATCTTTATATCTATATATCTTTATATCGCGTTTCTTTATATCTTTTCTATACGGAATTATTATTATTGGAATTATGGTTTTTGTATTTTAATATTTAACAAATTGCTACTTTTATAGGAATATTATTAAAATACGAAAATCATCTTTTAATAATAAGTATTAATTCCAGTAATTTAATAATTATCTTTATTTCATATTTTTAACTAATTTTTAAAAACTAACCCTATATTTGCCTACACCTGCCGTGTCCCGGCATAGAATGGGCCACCCTTTCCTTTCCCGTTGGTGTCGTAAGAGGCGATTAAGGGAGCTTATGGTGGAGGGATGGGTAGCAGCGTCCCTCTTAAAATATCTGTAAAAACCTAACTGCGGTTGCCAACCCGCCTGCCAAGCGTGGCAACTACTGACAAAACTCCCCTGGCGAAGGCTTATGTTTAGCAGTGGACTTTTCTCGGTACCCTGTAAATTCACGCCATATCCCACCCTTCAAACTGAAACACAGCCATGCAAACACAACTGTTTCACGGTTGAAACACGAATAGGACAGAGGTACCCAACCAAACGACTTTTGTACAAAGTCTCCCTCTGGTAAATAAATAAATGTAGGGTTTATTATTATTATTTCACATTTGAGACGACATTTAATAAAATTATATTCCTCTACCTAATGATATTCAGGTAACTGATATAGAAATATCTAAAACAATGTTTATCTCAAATAAATTGGGACATTCTTGTAAAGGAAACAAATTGATATAGACATTTATTGACTCGATTTAGTGATCCAAAAACTTTGTTACAATATAGAAAGGAATATTCTTAGTAGGACCTTGAAGCTTCATTTTAGGAACATGGAAGGTAAATCAAAACAGGTGTTCCAATAACATAATATTGAAGATTTTACGTTTTAGTTGAATTTAGATAATACTGGCTGATATCCGTGGCTTTACGCGCGTGCATTCTTTTAAAATTATTATTGCGAAGGTGAGTTTGTTTATTTCTTAGCACCTTAACGGTTTCACTAATCATTATAAAATTTTGTATATACGAACCTACACTATATGGGAATAGAATGGAGAAGGATCTATTTCACCTATTAACCTATGTCCTTTTTGTCCCGGTTAGTGGACATATTCAGGTCACGCGGACAAATTCCCGAGTAATTGATGGTCAGTATATAAAGTAATGGGTTAACCTTTACAAACTTGGGGGAAAGGGATTGTTAGTAATGGAGACTGAGAATCCCATTGCTGGCAATATACCCAACCAAGTCGATCTCCTCGCGGTTTTCCCTGGAAACTATCATGGTTAGTTCCTGATAAATTCATCATGATGGGCTAACTGGCCTGTTTTCATTCTCATCTATCACCTTTTGCTGGTGCTCAGCCAGCGTATCCCGTTAACGCAAGCGGGGTTACTATTTTTACTCATCAAAAAAAAACCTTTACAAACTTTCACATTTATAATATTAAGAGATACATTTTGTAAAATATAAATTAACAAATTTATTATAATTGATTACATAATATAATACATAAAATTAATTTTATGTAATAATTGAGTTCAGAGTTTATTGCTCAGTAAGATAATGGACATCATTTATACATATATTGTTAGCAAATAAAATCTCTATTCCGTTTTACATAAGTATTGTTTTGGTTATTGAATATGGTTTTTTCCATTATTAGCCACTTTTAAACTTGTTTTTTCATTTTAAAATGACAAACAATGACAGCACAGAGATGGCAGGTAGTCTACATGAAATGGAAATTTACAAAAATTTGATTTTAAAATGATATAATACATGCCGTTTAAAAACAGTAAAAAAACGTTAAAAACATTAAAATATTATTTCTTTGAATTTTAGATAGATTTTATGACAAACAAGCTTCATTTACTGACGAGCATGAACTAAAACAGATGGCAAGTGGTAACTGGTCTTCATCGTAATCATTCTTATGTACTCGAAAGTATATATATGACGATGCAATATAAATTTTCATAGGCATCATAAAATGGAAATACTCATATGAGTATGTGAATGGAAGATATTAATATAGGATAGAAATAATATAAATAACAAAATTTCAATTTGTTTGCTCTCTTATTTTTTTATATTAATCATTTTTATTATATCTTTATCCATAAATTGGCAGATGTACGTTCTAGTTGAAAAATAATTTTCGTTACTAACGAAATTTCATAATCATTATCGTCATCACATCAGTCGTGAACTGTCTATAGCTGAACATAGGTTTGCCCCTATCGGAGGGTTTTGCCAATTGCAACTATTGGCAATGCTTATTAGAAGGTGAGTTCGCAACCGCAGTTATGTTTTGTTTTATATTTTAAGACGAATGCTGCTGGCCATTCCTCGAACTAATGCGAATAAGGTATAACTCTTACGACATCCACTGGAATTTGGAATCACTTCGGTACAATAAAATTTGCGTATTTATTTCATTATACATTTCAAAGTTTATTAATCTCTCTATATTATGATTTATTAATTGAAACT